TTTCTGACCTGGCACTTGGTTGGTCTCGGAATAAAGGTATTTTAGTTATATTTAAATCCAGGTTCATTCCTCTTTCCATTTAGACTGAGCTATTTCCGTTCATGATATTGTTTGTTGAAAGACGAACTTTTTATTGATATTTTCATGGGTTTCCTTAGAGCTTTCAGACGAACTCTTTGATCGTATCTTAATTACAGTCGTATTCAACTACATCTTTTCTGACGCCAGGTTTCTCATATGACGCTGTATAAATGTTATTTTTTATATGGTGTGACGTTAATACAGACGCACGCTATACGCTGTTTCGACTTCGTAAATGTATTTGTTTTACAGTTGTGTAGCTATGTCCAACTTACGAAAATTGCCTACTACCTTCTGTTTGAGACTTAAGAAGTAGGTACTCAAAATTTCCTCCGTTACTCTACTGTTTAGTTACTTGTAACATACATTACTGGTATTATATTTATATTACAATATTGAATTAACCATTACGGAGACCTAACCTAATGTAAGTTTTTTTTACTTGTGTTCTTCTGTTGCATACTGAAAATGCTGGATCAATAACTTTCAGACTATAAGTGCTTTATCACGTATCCTCTCAAATTCATAATCCATTATAACCTTGTATCAATCATAGTATCCATAAATATAAAAAAGTGATCCTGAATTACCCAACCATACGACTCAAGTTCAATGCGGATTATAGCTGTGAAAGAATGACAACTTTGAAAATTTGTTTTGTTTTAATCAAGCGTATGAAATTACCCAGCGACCGAAGGAGATATTTTGAAGCTCATTTGGTCTCTTTGTAAATAAACAGTTCATTTTGGGGAGAAGTCGTGGTGCCTAATTTTCATTGCTCTGCTACACATGGTGAGGCCATCAACAACTTCAAACTATTTTATTATACATTTTTTTGTTCTTAATTTACGCTAATAGACTGTAGATTTGTACTACGTCAGTTTTATTAGATATAATCGGCCTCATAATCGATAATCGAAAATCGAAACCGTGGTATCCCGATTGTGATAAATGAATGCTATCAGCAGTATGGTCTACTTTTCAAATTGCGTTATGAATTTTAAGTAAATATTACAGAAATAAAAATATTTCTTATAATCTTTATAATTGTTTATAAAAAGTTATTCATGACATGCAAGTTACTTTCTTCATGTTCCTATTTGTTATTATGTCCAGCCTTTGTTGATTTAAGGAACAAGTTCCTTTTTTTAATTCATTCCCTGTCCACTGATGCGCCAGTCACGGACATTTCATAAAAAATGTAATTATATATAATATTCTTTATTCTTCGCGATGTGACCACAATCCTTTTGTATTGTTCTTACAACAGAGCATTTGACGGATATATTAGGCCCGCACCGTATTGGCATGTTGATGGTACTGAAATATGTAAAGAGTTTAAATAGCATTTTATGTGGTGACTGTATGCCGTGTGGTTTTACATATATCTTTAAAATGCTGGTTGACCTGTGACCACATGGCTTCGCTCACACGAACAGAAAAGAAACAGATATAAAGCAAATGAAACATGAATTGAGATCACATATTATTCAGTATGAATTTTAGTGGGAGGCAAGTAGAGGGGCAAAGGGTGGGAGGAAGGGAAGGAGGTTGAGTTAGTGATGAGAGTAAAGGATCGATACCGACGGGGGCAAATACGTCACCGCGACCTCTCGCGTGAAGCTGCTCGCACATAGAGTTCAAGGACGTCATTAAAAATTACCGTACTATGTGGGCAGCGCCGTGTTTCCCACTCTACTCGTTTTGCCTTTCTACACACTCGAATATATAAAATTTATTACACGGCTGCTTAAACCAATGGTCTCTAAACGTTTTGGTCGTGCATCCCTACTTACTAAAAAATCGTAGAACGCACCCCCGGAATAAATAAATATTTAAATGTAATTATTATTATATTTATAAATAATTTACATGGTATGCATTTATATCTAGCATAACATCATAAAATCACTTCGTGAAATCACAAATACAATTCAATAGAAGAATACAAAACAAAATTAAATAGAAATTATCTCGCGCACCCCCATGGACCACCTCGCGCACTCCACTTTGGAGACCACTGGTTTAAACCATCCACTAAGAAGTATTATAATTTGTCTGAAATAGGTCACATAAAATTCCATCTTCATTTGAAACACAATAGGGATACCTCATGTTATGTTGTTGAGATTCTTTGCAACAAGGTTGTTTTAGCTTAAAACTCAAAATATATTATGAATTTGTGTGCTGTTTTACCGTCGTTTAATAATTAACTCTCATTAGTGCGGAAGTGTAACACTGTTCATAATAAGGTCATCCATTGAACGCGATTCTGAGTCACTAAAAAGAGCTCACATCCAACTATCTGCTTCCTTGATATAACGTTTATGAGCACTTTGCTCAAAGTAAGTAAATGAAATGAACGCATAATTTTGATACATTATATCTTAACGGGTTTCTAAAAAATCACATGTCTTACAAAACGCTGAATCCCTAGGATATATAAAACAGCGATTTTAGAATTGTGTAGTGTTGTGAAATATGGTTGGTAAACAACATTATCAAGACAGGTTTTGAATGTAAGGAGAATGAGATAGCCAAGGGGCAAAGCCCTTCTTGAAAATCTGGAAGGTACGTACGCTGAGCTAGCCACCGGATCTGAGCTTGGTCAGATGAACCCAATTCAGATCTAGCACACTGTTTTCCTAATATCTGTTGGAATATTATAGTTCTACCTGCACCTAGTGATTTATTCTCTTCATGATTCCCCCAAAAATGTGTGCGATTTATGGTTCCCCATGCGTGCTACATGCCTGACTCTTCTCATCCTCCTTGATTTATCATCGTGATACTATTTGGTGAGACTTCTCTTAATGCAAATTTAAGTGAAAAATTTCTCGTTACATAACGAGAAACAACTTAATTTGTAGAACCTGAACCAAAACCTGAAATCACAACATTAAGATATATCTTAATGATGTAGTTTGTGAAGTTATGTAGCGTTTAGCGGTAAGGTGATTATGAAATGGGCTTTGAATTAGTGATTGTGTAGAATATAGGCCGTTTAGTGTTTACGGCCTTGAAGGACAGAAGAATACTATGAGAAGTCAATCAGGACAATTGGTCTCTAGGCTAAAAATGGAGTCTTTGACGTTCCGAATACAGAGCGGGAATA